AATATTTGTAACATACTTTGAGGATGAATTTACCAGGATGACAGTGAGACAAACATCCTTTAGCCCAGGAATTTGCTCTAGTTGGCAACTCTCCAGGCAAGTAGAAGACACAGGGTCACCTGAAATACTTCCTTAAATATTCTAAAGATAAACATTGATTAGGTTTGTAAGAGTTTCTAGAAGGGGTTGAGATTTAAGTATTTATGTAATTGGCTAATATGCAAAATAATATTCTTCAATTATAGAAGTTGTTGCTTTGTTGAGAATTTCACTACCTGATACCTGACATCATGAAGGTGTCCCATCCACCTTGGGACAGAGATTCCTTGTGGAGCGGCCCTTGCTATTGAGGTGAGCCCTGGGAATTCCATTAATTACAGAATGGGATTTCTAATTAATTCTTATCATGTTGTTATACTTGTTCAAATAGGCTTCTGTAGGATGTTAGCTAGTTTTGAACTTTAGTGGGCAGCACAGACTCCTCTGGCCACCCTCCTTATGCACCTTTGAAGGGTTATTTTTCATTGTAGTTCCAGTCAGAATGGGAAAATGATGCTATTACGCCTTAGATATCAGAAGAGTCAAAGAGCTCTTATCTTCTTTTCTTATCCACACATTGGAAATTCATGGCTTGTATTTCTGGAAGCTTTGCAACTCGTTCCTGTGATCACAGAAGTAGGATCAAATTGAAAGATGAGGAAGAGTGTTAATAACTGGATGTTACCTGGTTTGCAGGAGGTAGAGGTCTGTCTCAGCTGAAGGCAACCCTGTGTTACATTCAGTGTTCACATGGGAGGGAGAAGAAGAAACTGGTTGTTTTGCAGCTAAATAGCTGTCCTGGTTTGGGCTGGGGTACAGATAATTTCCTTCCTGGTGGCTGATGTGGGGCTGTGCTTTGGATTTGTGCTGAACACAGGGTTGATAATGCAGAGATGGTTTTGTCACTGCTGAGGCCTTTCCTGCCATGCTGGGGAGGGGGCTGGGTGTGCTTGGGAAGCTGGCAGGGGACACAAACAGGGCAGGAGATCCAAACTGACCAAAGGGATATTGCAGACCATATGGTATCATGCTCAGTATATAGAGTGAGGAGAAGAAGGAGGAAAGGGGGGGATGTCTGGAGCGATGGTGTTTGTCTTCCCAAGTAACTGTTATGTGGGATGGGACCTGCCCTCCTGGAGGTGACTGAACACCTGCCCAGCCACGGGAAGCACTGAATTAATTCCTTGTTTTGCTGTGCTTGTGTGCACAGCTTTTGTTTCATCTATTAAACTGTCTCTATCTCAACCCAGGAGTTTTCTGGCTTTTACTCTTCTGATTCTCTCCCTGATCCTGCTGGTGGGGGAGCGAGAGAGCGGCTGTGAGGGGCTTGGCTGTTGACTGGGGTTAAACCATGGCACTAGCTCCAGTCAAAGAGCAACCACTTTTCCCATCCTTTCCCTTTGCTTTATAACTAAATATACAAGAAAGAAATAAATGTTAGTCGTCCTTTTGAAAGGAATGAAGATAATCCTCTAGTATGGGCCACATGTCTACATCATTTATTGCATTTTGAAGCCACACTTAATTTAACATTGTATTGGTTTCCCAGCCTTTCAGTTGTCCTTTATTCTGCTAAGATGATGGGCAGACCAGTGAGTGAGCACTGTGGGTTTTTTCATCTGTCCTACAACACAACATGCCTTCAGCCATGGCCTGGTAGCCATAAAGATACCTAAAACAATTTTCTAAGTCTGTGAAGGAAACTCCATATCCTGTTCATTCTCGATATTTATTGTCCACAGAATAAATGTACTCTTAAAAAAAATCAACTCTCTTGATATTTTGCTCTATTTTACAGTGTTGGTATTCTTTCAGACAAAGTATGAGTGCAGAGATGAATTCATGTGGTTTGCACAAGAAAGTGGTTTATCTATTTTTGCTTGCTAAAGCCCTGAGAAAGTTTATCTGTCATTATGAAATCTGAAGGAGAACAGAGGATTTGGGTATTACTGCTTGATGTTTTCTGCAATCAATACATTTTCAAGGCATTTTACAGCATTGATATTTTGTTAAGCAAACACATCTGTTTCCAGATATGAGTTGCTCAGTTTGTCCAGGATGTCTCAACGTTTATTTCAGCCATCAACTCCCACACCCAATCCTGTATTTATCCAATTTAAGAGAGTCTTTTCCTTTGGTGGTTCTTTATGTTTTTGTACTTGCCACCTACTGTTTCATCCACAAACTAGATCAATTTATTTTCCTGACTCGACACCATAGGCATAACAAGTCTCTCTGAACTGTCACAGTTCACATGTAAAATGGCCTTTTAAAGGTGTATTATGACTGTTGTAAATCTCTCTATTCCCACTCATACAGCAGAACAGAGTGTTTCAGTACAGGGCTCATTTGGGGAACTCTTCACAGGATTTTTGCAGTACTCAGGAGGATGATGGGATAAAGTCCCTGTAATGAAGGCAAACTTGACAACTTGCAGTTTTCTAGAATTCAGATAAATTTATTGGTTTCTGAAGCTGCTGTGCCGCCTTCTTTCCCAGCGGTTGTGAGGGTGAAGTTCTGCTTGGGTTGTGCAGAAGTCCTGAAGGGAAGGGAGGCACAAGAGAGGGCAACAGAAATGTGTGAGAGAACAGTAAGGTAGAGGCAAGGGAACTGAGGAGGATGTCTCAGTTGCTCTGGAGTTAGGAAGATGATCCTAATCTAATTAATTATTAGTAGCTAAAAAATACATCATTCATCCAGGCAAAATCTTCCTGAAATGCTGCTGCTTTCATCTCCTGTTATTGTAGATGGCACTTCCCTATTTTTCCAGCCACTCTTGCCTCCAGCATGGTCATTATTTTTTCACCTTTCTCCTCTTGTAAGCATGGAAGAATGGGGCACTGCTGTTTTGCTGGAACTGTACTTTTTCCTTTCCTCAGAACTCAGCTATGTTCTCAACTTTTTGTGCTTCAACTTCTGCAGGACTCTTTAATACATTCTCTTTCTTGCCATAGGAACATCATCATCTTGACTCCAATCCCTGCACAGAATCACAGGATGGTTGGGGTCGGGAGGGACCTTTAAAGAATACCTAAATTCCACCCCCTGCCATGGCCAGGGACACCTTCCACCAGACCAGGTTGCTCCAAGCCCTGTCCAACCTGGCTTTTGTCTTTAGCTTTGTCTTCTCCCATTCACGAGATACACACTTGAAGCTTTAAGTGCAATTTCTCTTTACACAAAGTTCTCTTTGTAAAGCCCACTTTTCACTTGAGTTTCCCCCTTGTTCACAGGATTCCTCAGCCACTTCACCCATAAATGTCTTTTTACTTTTTTCCATGTCGATCCTTGTGTATAAGGGAAAAATCATTCTAATAGAACTGTCCACCCATTTCTGTGCCCTCCCTCTGTTTGTCTCATATGACTCTTTCTGACTCTGCCTGTGAGTCCCTGTTATGTCTGAGTGGGGAGATCAGATGCATTGCCCTTCCTTGCTTTGCTTCTCCAACTATTCCTTTCCTCTTAACTTTCCCCATTGCCACTGTTTCTGATGGAAATTCATGCTGGTAACTGAGCCCACAACATGTTCAACAGCATTAACTGTGCTTGTCTTTCATCTTGTAGACTGCCAAGAAATTTAGGCTGGGACCTGTGATTAATGTGTTGCTGGGGTAGTGGAATGTCCATGATTCTGTGACTGGGGTCAGTGAAAGGGTATTTTCTCTCAATGTGATGAACTCCTAATCATCTGTGAGGGATGGTGATCCTGGGACACCAGGTTGGTTGACTGGAAATGCCTTTGTATTTGTTCTTTTGAAGAATAAAAGTGTTGACAGGAGAAGCATTAACACTGTTTTAGTCTTTTTTGTTTGTAGCTTAGAAACTATTGTATTGCAATATATGCATGTCATTCAGTACACAGAATGTTGTTTTAAACTTTCTAAGACATTACAAGTACCTTAAATTGCAAAGAGCAGTAAATCAGGAATATATACTACTCCTGATTCTTAAGTAAACATGCACACTTACTTTAACTGTTTTTTTATTCAGAAAAATTCACATATTAAGTAGCTGGGTTAGGATCAGATCATACCAACACATGCCAGAGAGCTTTCAGCTGAAGATATAGAAGCTGGAATAGTTATTAGTAATTCTTTTCCATCCTCAGGTTTAATTTCTATTAATGTAACGCTCCTCTAAAATGTAACTGCTAATGAAAATATGAGAAAATCTACTGTCAGAGAATCCCAGAATCAGCTGAGTTGGAAGGGGCCCACAAGGATCATCCAGTCCAACCCTCAGCCCTGCACAGGACCATCCCCAAGAGTCACCCCCTGTGCCCCAGAGGATCATCCAAACCCTCCTGGAGCTCTGGCAGCCTTGGTGCTGTGCCCACTGCCCTGGGGAGCCTGGTCAGTGCCAACCACCCTCTGGGGGAAGAACCTTTCCCTGAGATCCAACCTGACCCTGCCCTGCAGAACTTCAGGCCATTTCCTGGGGTTCTGTCACTGGTCACTCTATTGTAATATATATAATATATGGTCTTCTATTGTAAATGCAGAGTAAAGTAAAATTTATCAAAATAAAAGTAGTGAAGAAACTAAAGTTTAAGAACTTAAGCATGGAAACAGGTTTCTCAGGGTTGCGTTCAGTCTGTGTATCACAGAGAAATTGCCTTCAGATATGGGGCATTTTGTCTTTTCCAAGTAAATTTGATGCATCATATGCAGTAGCTCCAAATGGCCACTTCTTTAGATGTTTTGAAATATTCCAGATGCACTTTTGCCACATAATTTCTGGTCATAATGGCAAGATTCTGTTAATGCTAAAGTCTGTGTGCAATTTAATTATTGAGAAAGTGGACATTATATTTGGGTAATGGCATTACAGCCCAAAACCTTTTGTTTTTTTCTTTACTCTCCATGAAGGTAAGCATTCATTTATGGAAGCCATAGAGCGGGAACTTTGGACATCCTGAAGGACTGTGTTCTAGAATGTATATTTTTAATATCATTCCTCAGGTTAGAAGCTGCCATGAGCAAAGAAGAGGAGTGCTACCAGTGCCTGAGGGTCCTTACATTGGCAAGGAGTTGATATTGTAAGATATACCAGATTATTTGAGCAGGTAAATTACTTCTTGTACAAAGAGAAAGCAAAAAATCCTGTGTTTTTCACCAAATGTAGAATTCCTTCCTATCCCCAGATCAGTGACTCTGAACATGAGAGGTTTTGTAATGTCAGGGTATGTGACCCATATCAGGCAGTTCTTTCACTGCTGGTCTAAAATGCCACAGAGAAGGGCAGAAAAAAACAGATTTTACATAGTATGGAAAAGCAAAGGCTTCCTGGCTCACTTTAGCAGTATGTTCAATCCATAAAGTGCTCAGAATGTGTTGAGAATAACACAGAAATTTCTGCCTTCTCCAAGAAAGCGTGAGAAAGGAGAGGCCAAAAGGGTTTATAGCTCTATCGGTTGTCAGTTTGAAAGATCAGTCCTCACGGATCACAAACAGATGTTTTCTCCCAGAAGTTGGGCTTTCCTCTAGGAAAGGCAGATTTCTAGGGCATGAGATGCCCAGGAGTATGAGATGTCAGTGTGCAACTTGCAGGTTGCACAGGTGAACCAGGACCTGTGGGAAAATGGTTTTTTCCTGAGTGACAGATGGCTGTCGAGTGAGGAATGCTCCAGGGCATCAAAAACAGTGCTTAGTGCCTCTACTTTGGCAGCCACATCCTATCTCACTATTTTTTATGTTTCCTCATGCTACTTAATTGTATATTAATTTGTGGTTCAACTTGCCAAATTTTGACCTCCAGCTGTTCAGTTCTGTGTTTTTATCAACCAGCTTGGAATAATTCTTGACTTGGAGCCCAGCCTTGCCTTTAAAGCAGTGAAAGCAGTGGGGGCCAGATATGTGCTGGTCTTCTTCTGACTTTGAGCTTGCTTGATCCTGGCCACCTCATGGGGCTGCCATCGCTTTGTTTTCAGCAAAACCTCCCTCTTACCTGTACTGTGTCAGGTCAATGTTGTCTTTCTGGCCTCAGCCTTTCTGCAGGGTTCCTATTTTTGAAATGCCCAAGAAAGGGTTGGTAACATTTAGTGTCACTGCTCAGCAGATTGGTAGGGGTGAGGGGAGTGGTTGGTCCCTTTGAAACTCAAGAGCTCTGCTTTAAAGGGATCAAGGTCTAGAACTGCTGCCTCTCACAGCTGATGTGTCAGATATGCAGGTGTTTGGGTTCCAGAGAACACTTCAGCTTATGAAAACAGGATTCCCATCCCTGTTGTACCCTGTTGCAGCTGCTGCCCTGCAAGAGAAGGTTTCCAGGCAGACATTCCTGTGTTGTTCACCTTCCTTCAGCATCTACATGTGTCACCTTTTTGCTCTTTCCTGGCACAAATCACAAGATTTCACCGCTCCCCATTAAAACCCAGCATCAGCCATTCCCTGACAGACTGGTGTCACTGGTACAGGGGCAGGAGGCTGCCTGGAAATTAATTCTTATTCCAAAGCTTTTGTTTGCCAATCACTTCACTTCTCAGTTCTGAAACTAAACACCCCTTTGAACCGCATGCATTGCTGGGCTGATGACCTGGCCTCTGGGTCTGACCTGGCCTGGGCTGATGACCTCTCCTATCTGTGTGTGTTTTTATTTTGATTTTCAGCAAGTGTTACTGCCTTTGTCCCTCTCTGTCTGTGAGATTAATTCTGCTCCAAGTCACTGTTTCTTTGGTGGTAGATTTCTGAATTAGCCACCAACTTCAGCATTCCAGTTGTAAGACCACCTCCACCAAATTTCGATTACAGCTCTACCATGGTCACTGCAGGTAAAGATTTTGGGGCCTTATGATGTACTGTTTTCTTTGTTTTCTGGTTTATTATTCCATTGCCTCATGCTTGCATTATGTGTGATTCTACAGCCACTTCAGAGAACTCAGAAAAAGAACCTAATTGGGTTATCCCTAATTAGGCACAAAAAAACCTCTGCACTGTTTTTCATATCTTCTTGATATTTCAGCAATGAAACGGAATTTCCATTATTATAAAAGTCTGAATGTGAATGAGAAAAAAGTCCCTTACTTTATATTCAAAATCCTAGTATTGGGCACCACTTCATGATATTTGGGACAAGGGGGATCAAGTACTATCAAGTCAAGTGAGCTGTTTTCCTAGTATGTGGAAGAATATATTTCACAAAAAAACTCGGTGCGTGAAATGTGCTTTCCCAAAATCCATTTTCTAACAATTGCATGGCAGTGCTGGTCTTTCTTTAATACTCATTTTTAACTTGTTTTTTTTTTCAGATTTTTTTTCCTTTTCTCCTTCAGAAAAGAGTTAGAGACTGCTGTTTTGTTAGCTTTCTCTGAATACCTTTCAAAACAGGCAGGATTTTTTTCTATAGTAATTCAGGTCCAAGAACTGACAGCTTTCTGTATTTTCATGAGTTTTCCAATAAAGACTGTCTACTAATAATGTTTTAAACATTTTACATTGCATTTATGTCATTACAGTTTTCCCCATGGCTGAGCATAAGGCATTTCTTGATCTGCATTTTCTGGGAGGCAAAAGTTTTAACAAAGTTATAGAAGATTCTTCATTGTGACAGGTTATAAAATCAGGAGGGAAGAAATAAAGCTGCACACACTTTCCCAACTTTCCAGGCAGGATGTCCACTTACTCTCATCAGAGAGCCGAATCTGTCCTTCTCTGGGAGTAATCAGAGCATTTGCCTAAGGATATTCCACCCATGGTAAAGCACCCAAGAAATTATCTGTGGCCTCCAGACATCTCAAAGGTAGCACCATTGCTTGCCTCTCTGCTTACTTTTGTATTTGTCTCATTATTTATCCCTTATTTGGGGAATATATTAAAATAGAAGTGACTTGCTTTTCTGTAGCAGTCAGTCTGATGTGTTATGCATAGAAACTTTAAAATAGGTTCTAATTGAGGTACTGAAAAGAAAATTTTCTGCATGTCAGGCATCCTCAATAGCAACCTTCCTTTTTCTCCACGTTGAAAAAGCAACAACAAAAGCAGCTTATAAATGTCTGTATTATTAAAATTGGGCACCTACAACAGCCTGAGAAGGGCAACTGGAGACATGGAGCACAGCACAGCTCCTTCCCTCCACTGCTGCCAGGTGAACAAGCTGCTGTAGGTCTGGAAAGGACTGCTGAACCTATGGAAATCCCACAGAACTTTCTTCTGTGGCTCCCTGGGAACTTTGCCTACTCGTGGGAAAAGGTTGTCCTGAAATATTTTGAATTGGGAGCAGAGATTCCTCTTGAGTGCAGTAGTCCACCCTCCACAGCTACCCACTGCCCCTTTGAGGAACTTACAACACTGTCTAAATAGTAAACAACTAAATACCCGAGTTTACTTTTTCTGTTTTGAAATCTTAAAGTTGTCCCCTTACTTAGTCTATGAAGTTCTAGAGGATGTAGACTGAGAAGCTGTATTGCAGAAAAGAAATTCACTTCTGAGGAGAAAATGTTTCTTTGCTCTGGAAATAGACTCCCCAAACCAGGAGGATTTTAGGCAGGGTGGACTGCACGAAGGCAAGCTGGATACTAACTGTTCAGATGAGGTGTTGAAGGAACATTACTTGTCCAGTGGAGGAGGTGGTTGTTAACTTGATTAAAAAAAAAAATCATTTCTGTCAGTCTCTGTTCTTCCTCCAGTGCTTAATAATTTTCCAGGGCTTTCCAACCATGCATGTGAGATGTGTAGAAAAGCTGTAGCTTCCCCTGAGCCACTGTGTAGTGTAATAACATTGCCTGGGAACAAGGAAGAAATACATGTTTTTTCTTTCATCTGGAGATATTCCTGGTAAGGGATGGGTGGGTGGCTCAGGCAGACTGAAAGGTGGCTCAATGTGACTCCTGCTGTTCCAAAGTAAATCTGTTTTCCATTCCCATCTCTGACTTGTGTGGATTGCAGAGATCCATTCACATTTAGCAGGGAAGTTTGTACTCAATAAACACTGCAGGAGCATTTCACAGTCTCAGGCTGCCACATGGGGAAGTTCTGTGTCTTTCTTGCTTGAGTTCTACCTTCCAGGATGAGAGTCTTGTACTGCCCAAGGAGGTACCTGTCCAGATGATCATCCCTGAGGGCTGGGAACCTCCTGGGTGACTGGGGGCAGTTTCACTGGGAGCTGTGCTCTTTGTGCCCACATTTGGGCTTTGGAACTGAAGAGTTTTTAAATGTCTCAGTGAGCAGTCTACAGCACAGAAACCTAATCTTGTTGGGGGATAAGTGCATGGTACATTATACTGGTGATTTACTCATTCTTTAGGATTGTGTAGACTTGCCTGCTTTTGGTGAAAATCCCTGATTTATTCACTTTGTTCTCAAAGATGTAATCCAAAACTGGTTACTTCTCTACATTCTTTTGTGTTTAATTCAGTTCATTCGAGATTCTGTCTCTTGGGGGGGTGCACGTGTATATGCACACCTATGACAGCAATTTTGGCATGACCTTGGGTTTTGATGACACCAGTGCTGCTACCATAAAGAAATTAAGTAATTCCTTATGTGTGTATTTTGTCATTCCACTGGATGAAATGTATGTATCTTCAGGTGATCTGACTTGAACTGATTGCTCTCTCCTTGAGGAAAAGCACTGGTGTTACCCCGAGGCTGTCTTCTCTTTTTGAAACCTTAATTTCTGCACACTACAGTTTGTCTAAATAGGAGAAACTTTTACATTACCAGTAGGAAATGTGAGTCAGCTTGATTACCACCTGAGGTTATATGTGTAAAATGTACCTAGATGAAATACATAATATAAACAGCCTTTTTATTTGTCACCTGCCAAAATGTCAGTGTGCCTGTGTGGTCAGTCCATTAGTGTTAAACGGGACAATTTTTTCCCTGGGAACCATGTTCTCAAATAACTGATTGGGGTCATTAGTTTGTTTAATTTCATTGCTGCTGGTTTAGCTTACAAAAATGTGGGTGGACTTCCTTTTCTTTATAACAATGTGCTTCAAGCAATACTGTTTTTCTTTAAGCCAAAAATATTTCTATATAAAATGTCACGTCTAGAATATCACATCTTTTATTAACCTCTAAGGAAGCCTGAACTTTTGTACTAGAAATGAACAAGGTCACCAGAACAATTTGTTCTTTGTCTACCCTGTTACACATCAACTCTGAGAATTTCCAAAGATCCTCTGGACTGCTGTAAGCCAGCAATACATTCCCAAAAGGACCAAGGCAGTGCAGTGAAGTCACATTGCCTTTTGCTGGCTGTGGTCAACCATTTCTCCAGATTCCATCCCAGTGATTATCCCATCATGGGATTTGATTTTTCTGGCATGACTTGTTTTCAGTAGACCCTGGGTTTTTTGATTTTTTTTTTTTTGTTCTGTTTTGTTTGGGGTTTTTTTTGATGGCCTACTATTTTATAAGTATTTCTCCATTAATTTTCACTTATTTCCATCAAGGTGAGGCTGACTGGTCTGTGGGTTTTATTCCTCTACTTCCTGTGAGTGGGCTTTTTTTTTTCCTTAATTTTGGTAGAAAGAAGGAGCAGTGAAAGAACTAAAAATTGATTTAGCTTAAAGTAAGGCTGGGATTTCTTTCAAATTGAGCTTGATAGTGTGAGAATACATTCTCCTCATTAACGTCACCTGGAGACCAAGTAAAGCTTTGATGCTGCAGTACAAGCAGCAGAACACTGTGGATTTTATAACTCATGATCATGAGTTTACTGCAGAAGAACATTTGTAGTCTTTTAAATTGGTGTCTATTATATCATATTACATTTTAGGGCACTTTAGGGCACTCTTCAATTACTTCCAAGGTGCCAAACTGAAAGCCTACCCTTCTTTCATGAGTTTGTCCTTCTGATTCTCGTCCTTCTGAAACTTGGGTTTCTTGTTTCATCAGTGGAAAATGATTTGTAGTGTCATGTGGTTTGCAAATCATTAGCCTCGGGGGTGGTTTTAGTACATACTTTCTAATTTCAACTTGGGATCACTAGTTTTCATGGACTGCTAGGCTCTGCAGATCTAACAAACTATGATTTATGCAAGCATACTTTGAAATTAATTTGTGAGATTTTCACTGGAATTTAGTCATAAAGGGTGGGGGGTTTTGCCATAGTAGTGTGACAACTGAATGAAACCATTTTTAGTAGTTTTTGGTATGTAGAATGCACAAAACTGGATTGTTCTCAAATGCAGCAACTCAATAAATGCAGGAAAAGACAAAAGTTTTCCCCTGTCAGTTCTCAAAATACAGACTGTTGTACTTTTTTTCTATGTCAATATTAACTTTCTCTGTGCAAAGCTTCATACAGCACAGGAGAAAGTCTTAGAGAACAAGATCTAAAATACTCCCTGAGACTTCAGGTGTCACAGGGTTGTCCCCTTGCAGAATAAAAGAGCCTTTGCCTTGGTTGTCATTGCTGTAAATTCAGTGGAGACTTGTGGTTGTGCTTGACACCAGTTCAGCATCTTATGGCAAGGTAGGTTTATTCTAAAGGCCATCCACTCTATTTTCAATGGAAATTAATGAAGAATTCCTCTGTATATAGTATGCACAGACTTAAGAGGAAACAAAAGTGCTGCCTTGTCCCAGCTGTGACTGCAAGGCAGGAAAACACAATTGGATGGAGGAGGCTCATTGGCAAGTTACAGGGAGAAGTCACAGTTCTGGATGTGATAGAAAAATATCTGAAGTGAGAGAATGAGATATAGATGGGAAGTGGGGAACTTGTTTTCTTCTATTTCTCCTTTCTGCCTTTCTTCTGGCTGTTTGTGTTCAGAGCCTTATGTTGTCTGGTTTCTTTCTCCTGAGGAAGTCAGCAAGGCTCTCCTGGCAGTGAGATGAGGGAGACAGAGGCTGATAATTTGCTGATTGCACCCAGCCCAGGTGGAGAAGTGCAGGCAGGAGTGCTGGTTCAGGACTTCTGATAATTCTGGCACTGATTTTGCTGGTTTGTTTTTTTTAATAAATCATCTTTTCAGTTCTTATTAGAAAACCAAAAAGCCAGACTTTGAATTAGGCAGATCTCTTTCACTGCTAAAGCCAATAAGGAGAAAGATTTTATTTAATTCAGAGGTATTCAAATACTTTCACCAGGTTCTTACTATTTGTGTTTTACAGATTTTCATATACTACTGGGACTTGGCTAAAAAGTAAGAATAGATATTGCTGCTCCCCTCTACTCCTTCCCAGTATTAAAGAAGAGAAGCTTTGTAGGTATGTATGGTTAATGTGTCTCTCTTTGTCTAGAGTTTTTCCTACTTTATATTAGGTTTGAGGAGCATTTACTTTAAAAGATCAACTGAAATTGGTATGTAAGTCTTGAATATATATATATTTACACACTATTTCAGTAATGACGAAAGCACCTGATAACTGATTTTAAAATATATGATGATAACATTTGACATTAAATTTGAAGTAGCTACTGCAAAAATTACTTCTGTTACTTTGTAATGTTATCTTAAGGTCTAGTCCTTAATGGGTTTCTTTGAATGGATCAGGGTCTTTTTTTACCTTAATTCCACTGGTATAGTAGAAATATATACTGCTGAATTTGATGCAAATTCACAAGAATTAAGAAGAAGATAATAAGAATCTTGCTTTGTATAATACCCTGCCATACTCAGTAGTGTGTATATTGACCTGAAGCTAATGCTCTCTTTCTTGGTTAGCAGCTTGATTTTTCAGTTAGATATTTAAACAGAGGAACCAAAGAGTCAGTCATCCTTGTAATTCACCTTCTTTGGTGCTTAAGAAACAGCAAAGAAAGGATTATCATTATTACAGGCAGAGCACTAGTTTGGCTGTGTTAAAGTTGTGAACTGTTTTCTGTCAAAGGTTTACTGTCTCCTCCGTGCTTTAAAATACATGTTCTTACACAGATTGCCTCACAAATGAACGTGTCTCACAGCTATGCTGAGAGTCATTAGAAAGAGGGTTTTTTTCTTACTTTATTTTAGTCTGGTTGAAAAGAATACTAAGGGAGTTGTTTCCATTACAGAAAGAACATCATATCATTTTTCTCACTGAAAGTCTCCAGTGCTTCCTCTCAATTTGGTCTTATTTCTCTCTGTAAAACTGTGCTGTTAGTAAAGCTGGCATGAGGTGGATGTTTGTTTTTACTGGCAGGGTATACATATCAAAAGCTTTTGCTGCAGAGAAGACCCCAGAGGTCTCCTGCTGATCCAAACTAGGTTGAATATTGTACATATTTTCCTTGGAGAGTGAAACTCTCTTCTCTGCCTGAGCAGAGGTGACATAAGGAGCTTTTCTGGTGGAAGTCTGGCACTGCTGCTTCTGCGTGGGAGTGAGAGCTTGTCCTGGGCTTCATTCACATGAAGGCATCGTTTATAAAGAAAAGTTAATGTGTTTATCACAAATGCTGGAAAAGTTCGAGTTCTGCTGGAAAGATTGGGACAGTTTCTATCTTGCTAGAACATAGTATTCAGCAGTCTTCTTCATTTTGTAATGTCATTAATTCCAGAGAAATGATTCCTAAGCATAGTGGAGTCTCAGTCAAATAGCTGTCAGAAAATACCTTAAGAATCATCTTGGGCATGTGAGAGCTGCTCCCAAAACACAATGTGAACTCCTGTTCTAAGCAGAACACATTTCCTTCTTATGTGTCAGAGGTGTCTGTGGCTTTTCTCCATGATGCCATTACCACCCTTCTGTGGCAACAGACTCTTGATTTCCTTCTCATCGTGTTCTTTTTGTGTAGATTACTATGTGTATGGTCACCAGATAAATGCTTCCCATCCCCTGCTCTCCTTAGGGAATAGAAGTTTCATCCTCAAATCTGATTATTTGCTGAACTGGCTGCGCTCTGGAGCTGATACTTTGGAAAAAGTATTTTCAGACCTCTTTGGTTTTCCAAATGTGTTACTGATATATGGGTTATTATCCCATTTAACAATAAACCACGAAGTTTTCAAAGGTAACCAACATTTTCTCAGGTAACCAACATTTTCCCAGTAACCAGTTTGTTCTTCCAAGTATCCTATTTCTGCAAGTACCTTTGGGTAATGCATTTCTCTTAGTGACAGCTTAATGTTGGTTGCCCAGACAACACATCCCACAGGCCAGGATTAGGTTCCAGGTGACTTAAAAAGGACCACACATGTCTCCTATATTTCTAATTATGCTGATGAGTTCACAGAGAATCATTTTGATTGAAGGAGTAAATATTAGATAAAGAAACAGTACCTAATACAGACAATCTAGAACCACACAGGTGGTTCACTACACTGTGGTCTGAACAGGCTGGCACTGAGCTTTCAGGAGTCTTTGTTTTATACTCAGTGCCCTACCAATGTTTGTGGAGTCTTTTTTAACAAAATAAAGATCCAGGTTGCACATTGACAACAATCCTGGAAAGCACCTATCCTGAACTAGTCTGCCACCACATCAGACTGACTTTATTTGGGGATTTATTAGGAAGCATAATGGAAACATACTTGAAGACTTGAAAGTGGATGAGAAGTTCTGACTGCCACAGCACAGTGCACAGCACAGCTCAGCCTGCTCAGTTTGTTGTTGTGGAAGAAAGCAAAAGCAAATAACATATGGATGCAGTTTTTACACGTTTGTACAAGCCCTTGACAGTCAGATCTGATTTCCTCTAGCAAAGACAAGAAAGAATGTCTCTTGCACCTATCCTGCCTTCGTCTGTAATTGAATTATAATCACCCCCATTGCTCTTGGAGAGGAAAGCAGATGGTAAAATATTACTTCAGAGTGTTTTGGGCAACACAGGATTTTTCTTAAAGGTTATTAGTACTTCTACTGAAACATTCTAGAGGTGACTTTAAGAATATTCCTAGGATTTCTAATACTAATACAGAAATAACAGGGAAAGGATGTTATTATTACAAACTGGTGAAAAAGGTTAAATCCATTCAAGCTACCACTTAATCAAATGTTCTCTGGTTCACTTTTTCAGGGCAACGTAGGTCAAAATGGAGTGTTCAGAGCTGAATTAAGCCTTGTCACAATAAGAAAATAGGCTTATTTGTGGGAGATTTGATAAGAAGTTAATAGTTGATTTGCTGCTTCTGGTAGATAAAAGAAATATATGGCTAATTTATAGATGTTTGTAAAAAAAGTTTTTTCTGGTGCACCAATAGATAAACGTGTGCTGAATAGAAATTTTAACACCACTGCTGGTACTTGTTAGAGGAATATATTCAAAATAATAACAGAGCTTGCCAAAGAGCAATTTGAGAGGTGATTTTCCATTTTTGTGCAGCTAATTAAGCACAGAAATGAAGCGATGGTGCCGGGGTTTTCCGCATGGCTGACAAACACATAGAAAATTTCAGCTGCTGAAATTGGAAATAAAGACAAATTCAACAGTTAGCAAAATGTGTTGGGCACAGGGAGATGTTTGGTTGGGGTTTTTTAACTGTCAGGTTTTGCATATTTTGATTTCGCTGAAGCATTGGTAATTTCCTTTGAGCTGGTGAAAAAATCAGCATTTGGTGGAGAGAGAAACTGAAGTGGCACAAAAAGTCTTCAGGAGCTGGCAGAGAGCTGCTGAAAAGAGCTACAGTAGTGTTTTGGAAGTGTAAGAACAGTCTGAAGAGACATGAAATCCTTTGATGGGGTCACTTGTTGACAAAGCTCTTAGGAATGACTAATAAACTGAAGGGGTGAAAAGAAAACAAAACTCCTGTTCTCACTCCTCATTCGTAGAGTTTAGATTTAGTCTTATCATTGACTGAGATTTCCACAAACTTAACATTAGAATATAGTAAGCCATTAATTTTTTTCCTTGCTTTTTTGTCAGAACAGCAAAAATCTTATTTCTTGCAGTTTTACCACGTGTAAATTGGAGCATTTGAACAGAGATGGAATCTGGCATACTCATGTGGAACTTTGTTTGTCTTGATTTGATAGTGTGCTCCCAAACTGGAAAAGTAGCACCATCCAGGTTTCAAAATGTTATTTCACATAATTCCATGGCTTTTCAAATAATAGTTAAAGAATTTTCTCTGTTGTTGCCTGGAAGGTAGAGGTGACTGTCGTTTTTCCTCCCTTCTCAGTAAATTAATGAAATAATTAATAGAAAATACTGACTATAACATATATATATAACCGAAACTAATGACTATATATATAACCAACACCAATTACTATAACTTTTATATATATATATATATATATATATATATATAACCAAGTTCTGGTTAATAAATTCAAAGTAATCATGTTAATTAGCTCATTGACAGTTTGATCATGGTCAGTTTTAAAATGATTCTATAATACCAGAAAGGAAAACTTATTTTAGGAACTAATCACTTCATTCATGAATTTTATTTCTGTGAAAGTGAGAATTGGAAAACATTAATTAGCTGTGAGTCATGGCATAATGCAGTCATGCCAGAGTCTGTGGAATCCCTCAAAAGTTGTTGAACAAAGTTGTAAAGTAACTCATTTATAATTATGAATTTGAGAGGAGATTAATACAGCGTCAGCTACTATTGAATCTATTTCCATAAGCTAGATACCACTTCTTTTCACTTGCCCTTTTAAAAGTATTTAAGTAAAAATATGGCTCTATACCTCAGAATATTTACCAAATTCTTGCAATTTTTATCTGTATAATTTACATGCGCAAGCGGAATTTCCTTTTTTTCTGTGTTTTTATACAATACATGCGAGAAAGAATTTACTTGGTAAATGCTGTGCTTGAGCAAATAAATAAATGTGAAATTTTAAATTCATATGTCCTATGAAAGGAAGAAAATGGAAGCAAGGTATGTTTTCCTTACATGTCAGAAAAAAAACAAATGCACGGGAATAGTCGGTGCTGCTTCAATTCAACCTAAAGATAATGAAATGGCAGCAAAAAAGCTCCAGTAGGAAGAGAAGAGAATTTGTCATGTTCCTGATGGATTGTGAGGTGTGAAATAGAATTGGAGGTGGCAGGGGACTGCCAGCAATGGAAGAAAGCTCTTACAGAGGCCTAAATAATGCTTGGCAAATAAAAGATAACAAGAATCTTGTTAAATGATCAACTGACCCAAGGTGGAATGTTCTGGAACCGGGTATAAATGAGCTGTGGAAGGGGAATGTGTTTCCATGATGTTCATGATGTTTTGGGCAACTTGAATAGAAAATGATACGATACTTTTGATCAAGGTAAAAGAAGCAGGGGAAAATAAAGTCTTGTAAAATAGTGTTCTCTGGAGTGAGACTGTTTGTAGAAGGTATTGTTTATAAAGCCAAAGATCACAGAGGAATTTTTCTCTGCAGGAACTAAGTTATTCAAGGCCTGATCTAATGCCCATGGCAGGCAGCAGAAGGATGCTTGATGACTTGAGTGTGCTCTGGAGGAGATTCCCAAAACACTTGGCTTCATATGTCCTGCTTAGGTCAGGTTGACCTCATTCTGCTTGAAACAGAGTCAGGCTTACAGGGGATGAAGAGTGATGGATATCGAGAACAAGCCAGCAAACACTCAGCAGGGGATTTCGGTCTCTAGTGGCTGCTATGAAAGCCAGCCATTGACAGGAACAAAAAATGTAATTTGTTTTTCTAGCACATGCTAAACAAGTGCCAAAATGAGTGATTCACTGTCTTAAATTTTAAATTAACGGAATCTGTCCATTTTGTAAAGCGGCTTATCCAGCCTGCAGTTTTGTGACAGAGGATTCTACAGTGTCCTCCAAGCTTTTGTGGTCCTGGTAAGTACTGATGGTAACACCAGTGAATTATATCATTTATATGGTAGAGCAGGCTGCCTCATCCAGAATGTCAGCATGACTAAAATTCCAATTTTTAAAACATGTTCCTTGCCTAAATGGCTGTATCTTCTACATTGGATCCTCTCCTTGTTCTGCCTTCAGAAATTTACACTCAAAAATCAGGAAAAAGAAAAAATACAGCTACATCTTTCTATTTCAAGTCATTGTCACACCAAAAGATGGATTGTCAATGAGAATGTGGTAAATGCCTATCTCATAGCACCATGTGCATGTTTTTATCTTTGATGTCTCATTTTGAGTTTGAGACAAATTTTGTCCATCCTCCAAGAAGATGGTCAAAAAACATTCCTGCCTTAAACAGATGAACAATTCATCTTGACACCTTGAGAATGTTTGCAAAGTCCAACCTAAAAAACACAAACACTTCATTAAATGTGTTTTCTCCACATCTTCATAAGAATGAGGAATTTTGAACTCTTACTGTTCACTTGTTTTCATACATAGCTCATGGCTTTTGAAGGGTGTCTGTAACAGATCA